ATTGCATGTGAATACAAAATTTTTCGTTGTGATTCAAAACCAATGTTTGCCGCGCGCGTTGAATAATTTTCTCTCTGTTCGGTTTCGGATTTGTTTCGCTGTCTCACTCATCTTGGCAATCGTTCACATTATTCTTGTTGAAGGTGAAATGAATATAAGCTGGCCGCCACTGACGCCGTCGTTATTCACTCGAATGTATTCAAACACATTTAGACACACAGATATACAACGTTTTTTTTTTTTTATGTCGGTTGCATCAGTGATTTATGACGCAATTCGCTTTCTTTAGGCCAACGAAACAATAAACGAGCCAAGCAACAATAATAACATCATGAAATGGACAGGCCATAAAAAGAATACAACAACTTCGAAACCAACTACACATATCGAAAATCTCTGTTCATAACTTGAGAGAAAGAGTGAACGAGACACATTGAATGGAAATGTCGGATGAAACATAGTAAATATGACGAATGTGAGGGAGAGAGCACGTGAGCAAAAGTTGGGACAGAGGCAGAGATTTGGATTTGATTTTGACGTATCATAGCCAAATGAAATAAAACCATTTTTAACTGTCTCATTTGATGCGATTCTAGATAAAAAATGTTACACCACAGAGAAGACAGACTCCGGCATTCTTCAAGCACTTGAATAATTATCATAATATTTTGACCGTGATAAGTATTCGAAATGTTATTAATCACGACTACTTTTGAAGTACGAGAAATCCATGGATCACCTGAAATCCCAATGAACTTGCTAGGTGTCGTGGTCCCCATTGGGAATCAACATTTCACTTATTCTTCCCGTTTTCATGCATCTTTGATGTTGTATGCTTTTGTTGTTATATTTGAAAACTTATAACAGCGAATAATAACATTTTATTGGATTGGCAAAAATGAATTGAGCATTTTTTTTTTCTTTTAGTTACCGATTTAAACATCGCTATATTCGAAAGTTCGCTATATTTTACCATTTTTCTTCAATACAGACAAGAAAACGGCTTAAGTGGGTATAGTGAAGATGTTCTATCACACCCAACAATGGTTTAGGAAATTCTAATGTCAAAGATGCGCGTCGCGCCGGTCGACCAATCACTGGAGGAATTGATGACATTTTCAAAAAATTTGAATAAAAATAATACATGAAGACTGAACCAAACATCGACCGAAAATATCAAACCACAAAAACAAGCAATCCAAGCATTTCTGCAAAGATGTAATGTTGGAAATAATAGCAGAAAGTGATCCAACAAAATGGCACACATTTGTTTTAATAAAGTTTTTTTTTATAAATAAATAAATACTTTTTCGTCAAGTTTTCTTAAATAATATTATTTTGATAACTGACAGTTGACAACTGATAGTCTCCAAGAAAATAGTCATGACTAATGTCATGATTACCAATTTGCCTGAATCTGAAGAGAAAAATGACAATCAAACTGCGCATCTTGAATGTTATTTTCCAAATAAATGATGAAGAAGTAAAAAACAAATGGAACGTTGTCTTGATTTTCACATCTTCCACATTTGTTATTGTTACGCAAATTGACGTTTCCATATCATTAAATGATGATTTCAAATCAATCATTCTCAACGAATCTATATACGACCAGGGGGTAGACACACATTTTCAGCTTAACCAGTGTCGTTTTTGCGTTGTCAATTCTTTTCTTATGGAAGAAAGTTTTTTCTCACAAATATTCTTCAAGTTTCTTTCTATTATGCTCTAATTTTTACATAGTAAAAACCCCTCGATAGATTTTCATCCAAAAACCAAAACCATAATTCAACAAACGTGTCATCTATCAAGTGCATACAAATCAAAGAAAAATCATCGAATCGAATGGGTTGCGGGCGATACGAAACTTTCACTCAAATCCTATTATAGATAAATGAGATCTTCATTTTCTCTATGTAATTTAGACAAGTTTTACGTGCTTGAGAAGGTTGTGGACGCGTCATTGGTTATGAAAGAAAACGAAATTATGTCCGGCGGCAAAGTCATTAAGTTGAGTTAAACACTTGTAAGCCATTTTGTTTGGGAATTGTGTGATAGCACTCCTCCGTTGCGGCATGTACGTTGAAAATGGATTACATTTTCTGCATATAGATCGTTGATAAATACCGAAGCAGATGCATATAGTGGAGATATTCAACTTGACTGAGTTTTGAATTTGTGAAAATGAGCGAGAGGAATGGAAAAGAAGCAAAAAAAAATCAAAGAGCTCGAGCTAACAAAAAGCAACATTACGGAAAATGTTTCACACCTACGGACCAAAAGGCAACGAGCAACGAAAATGTCATGATTGTTTGCTGTCTCCAACGCCACCATACAATGCAGCAGATCAATCTCATCCTTTTGTTCAGTTAAACAATGAAATTTTCTATTTGCGTTTCGAAAATCCATCCCGCAAAATAAGCACAACAAATCACCCAAACGAACTATAAAGTGGTGTACTTCACAACAAGTGTGCGGCAAATGATTCTCTGGTTTAGCTGTTAATAGACGACAAAACTTTAAAGAGACAAAAGTGCAATGACAATAATAATAACAACAGCACCGATGATGTTTTGAGTGCATCAAGAATAAATAGAGGCGAAAGAGAGAAAGAAATGAGTGAACAAAAGAAACCAAAAAAAACGACATCCATTTATAAAAAAAGAAGAAATCATTTGTTTGCGTATTTTGCTTTAATCGTCCATCTTCCTCTATCTTGCTACCTATTTGTCGTTTTAACTGATTTTGTGTGAATTACGATTGAATCAGAGATCAAGCAATGGTAAAATAAAGTGTTCAAACTATTCATGAACCGAGCCGCACATTACGTTCATAGTTCAAAAGCGCGATAGCTTCTATTGTAGTTCATATTGATGCTGTTTAATATACTATGCCGTACATGTAGTATTTTGAATACGGATTCGCGATCACAATTTCTCTTCTCTTTTATCCATCGTTTTTTTTTTATTCTTAACCGAATTGGAACCGAGACAAAACAGAAAATATTTCAGTATATATACTGAAATATTTTCATTTTAGCCAATCTAAAAAAAAGATCGGCAAGTAAAGCATAGCGAACACCGCTTGAAATCTATTTTCAGTCTGTATCTGAAGCGTCATCACCCACACTTTGGCCGTGTAAATTAAAAATCCATGAAAAATGAAACACATTTACCGCGTCAAAATGGATTAACCCAAAAGCAATGATTGGACCATAGTTTGATCGTAGTTTTTGTACATTGGTTTCAATTCAAAAACAACCAGCCACATCAAGAAATTTCAAGAAAACAAACACAAACCTCACAATCTTGATGAAGCATATTAGGTTTCTGTCTTCGAACACTATCTATGCTAATGCTAATCTACTGAACATTTCAAAAAACTGAAACGAATCGTTTAACTTTACAGCAGGGTTAAACAGGTGGGCATTATAAAACTTTTATTCATATCGCACAATTTTCGAATGTATTTTGGTGTATCAGGCCACAGTTTTGTGTGGGTGTGCAAAATGGCCACCAAATATTTCGTTGTTTACGAGCCACTAAAACCTAATCGTCTACACACTGATAACAAATCTAAACGAATGCATCGAGCATATAAGTCACGAATATGTGCTGTATGTGGATATTGGCAAATAATAATGAACATGTGAGGTTTTTTTTTATATACATATGCAAGGTGTTTCATGTCCCGATTTTCTATGTCTATTTGAAATTTATTCTATGCCTATGCGCATATAGTTCCCGCTTTTGTCTGTTTCCGTTCCATTTACAATTCTAGTTTGAAAATTACAATGCAAGTGAAACTTGCTTCGTAATTACTTCTTACATGCCTTAATTCAATCCCATTGCTTAATGCTGATGTGATCTTATTTAATTTACGCGCAAACAAAATTAATTGGGTGTACAATATAAAATTGGCAAACCACCCATATTCTCCTCATATCCAAACAAACCGAAAATGTGAAAAATGAGACGAAAAGAAAAGAAGACGTTTGCAAGACACACATTTAGTTACGGCATTCAATACATACTTTAACAAATTCAATTTTTCTCTCGAAATATAATTAAATAAACACACAATATCGTTGCGGCGTATCACATTTACATTCTGTGACAACCGTTGTTGTCTGTTCAGAAAGAAAGTTCTGATTGAATTTTATTTTTGAAATGTTATTATGTGGGTAAAAGTAGTCGAGCCGTAGGTCATTGAGGTGAAAAAAGAAAAAGATTCGACCAAACAGAAGTGACAAGCACATGCGAGAATCGTCTCATCGTCGACAGCATGCGAGTGTGTATTTGTGACATATTTTAGACAGCAAAAAGGCAATTCATAACTGCGATTGCGAGTAGATTGGATTATCTATGAAACCGCATAATTTTCGATAAAAATAGTCATTTGAGTTAAGGAAATACACACATTTTTCATAATATTGAATTGTTGTCAGCCTTCTTTGTTTCCCTTTTTACTTAAAAAAAAAATCGATATTCATAACGACATTCCTTCATTCGATTTTTTATTGGAATGAAATTGAATCGAATTGGTTTCAGTCGAAAGAAAAAATAAATATAGTTTACGGTTTAAAAACATTCATTTAATCGGACAGGTTGTTGCACAAATCATTTTATTCTGTGAAACACTTTTGAAACAAACTACGTATACGAAATCATTATCGTCACCAATTTATAATATTCATTATAAATTCCATAAATTTTAATTTTAATATCAAATATTTCAAATTCATGCACTTGCTCATCGAAAAATATTAAAAATACTTAAAAAATAATCCTGATTGAAAACAATTCGAATTTGATTCGCTAAATGAAAAGGTCATTTGTATAATTACACCACATTCAATGGTGAATATAAAGAGATTTTTAAAAAAATCTCAGCGAATTGAATTGTTTAACATGTCACTCTATCGTTTAAATGGCGAGACATAAATGTTTACGAATTTCTTCTTTTTCAACAAAATATGTGGCTATTGATTTTTCACTTACCGCGTGCGAGTAAAACACTTTTACACTACACTTAGCTCTCAAAGTACTTTACTAAACTGTAAAACGACATTAAATAAACACTGTAGCTCAGTGTGGCTAGAGAACTGCACGCCAAGGCGCAAATTATGAACGTCGAATCAGAGGAAGCGAGATAGCAATCGATCTCACAAACCGTGAAAATCGAGAAAAACGAACGCTCAACGAATGGAAACCGTATATAAACGAAATAAGATGAAAAAACTTTATGAAAAAAAAAGAAGAAAATCCACAAGGCAAATTTTATAATAAAAACCACACATGCATACATTCAAATTTGTTCAGTCGAACGATTTGATTCTTCACATTTTTCTTTTCGTTTTCTGCTCAAACTGATTTATCTTCTTTTTCGTCTTGTCCCTGTATTGGTCATTCTATCTTGAGTCGCATTCGCTGACACTATTGTGTGTGAGATTTGATCTTGTTTCAAGATAGAAAACGCTCAATAACGCATTTGTATCGCAACTATAATCGCTCTCAGGCGTTTCGAGATTTTGTCACATCTAGAACTCATTTGAGCATTATACTACTACATGTTTATATTAAATTTAATTTTGCATATCAAATTAATTTGTTTATAGATCGAATAGATTTTTGGTTTCAATGTAATGTGCGTTCCATTTCAACTAAGTTTTTGGGTCTCATATTTTTTTTTTCATTACAATAAATATTTTTTTACAATCACTTTGCGCAGTGAAAGCCGTCTGTAGCGTGATCATATATAAAATAAAAATATTTAACTTTGATTAATCGAATTAATTTTTCGAAGTTTGTGTTGAAATATTCTGACGCTCGCACACAGCGTGATAGCATTGAGTATGCTGCGTTGCAATGAGAAAACGAAGAAACAGCATTGGTATGAGTGTGTCATTCTTTAATAAACACAAACGCAAACGCGTACATTTTCCCAAAAATATTCTTTTATGTGTTTATTTTCCTCGATTATCACTTTATTTTCAAATCGTGATGAAAACGAATTTTCATTTTCGCACGAAAACCAATAGTAGGTCGTTTATTTTAGATATTTATCGTCACTCAATCCAAAAACGCACACAACAGAATACAAAAACCAGCATACCATAATCGAGAAAAAAAGGGGAATACCGAGACCATCTCTCACTCCATCTTTTTTTCGCTCTTCTATCTGTCTCTCCTTTTTTCTCAACTTAAATTCGGTTTCGTTTATATATATTATATAGGTATTGATGTGCGTTGTTATAAAAATAGGCATTTGTGATTTTCATTTTCAACGTCAGTTGATTCAAACTATGTGTTGTATATTTTACTGTCATTTTCCATTTGCATTCGGTGTTCCTGTATTTATTCTGGTCGTTTAGTTGTTTTCTCTTCTTTTGTTATTGTTTGGATTAAATTTGGTGAAGATCAAACTAGAATCGACCGAATTTTGTGTTATTTGATAAAATTTGTCATTGTCTCTTTCTCCAAATGTGGATGTGTAGTGTATACTATATTCTTTTAATTGTATTCGATCAATATTTTATATTTGAATTTGTCATCACTTTGATGTGTTCTCTCTTTCTATCTGTTTCACCCATTTTTATATTCAATTGCAAAGAATTGTTATTTGCATTTTTTTTTGTTCGTTGGTGAGTTGGCATTGCATTCGATTTTCAATGTATTAGTGTCGAGAGCAGAAAGAATATGAATGACAGAAAGAACGAGAAAGTGAGAAATTAAATGAAAGGACTGTTATAGAGAAAGTGTACCGCACACAATTAGATAGGTTGTTAGTAATTTGAGTTTCATGTTGAGTGACTCGATCCAATTATGCATTCATTAAACAAACTGTTGACAATATTTCGTGTGAATGGAAAATAGGCACAACATTTTATTCACACCATTACTCTATGTAATACAACGTTTGTATTTCATCCCAAGCGACAATTTTTAACGAAAATTCACCCATTACCATTTTGGATAAGTATTTATCTTTTGCGGTGTAAGAAAATCTATAGCTATAGTTGTATAAATTCATTATTTCGTATGGAATACCATCGACAATCGTCACTTATTCAGTCGATTATTTTGGAACAATAGACAAAATAGGCGACTATGATTATTGTCAATTGAAGTTAGCTGCTACAGTTAACCATGTCTTACTTTAATTAATTAAAGTTACCAGACGGTTAACTAAATTTAACTCAATGTTTACAGTTAATTCGTCCAAAATAGTCGCTTTTTTTACACAGAAGGATCACATTCTTCTGGCGACTTGAAGTAATGTCCCAAATCGAAGCCATGCGAATTGCGAAGTGTCATTCCTTTTCGAAGCATTGTGATGCAATGCCAGATATATGTTCGCCATTGACTTGATGGAATGCCCAATGTTTTAAATCAAATTGGCTTCGTCAATGATCTGTTCACTGGCCATCTGATTTCACGAATTGACTAGAATAAAATGCGCATCTTTTCTAGCTGTTGTTGATTGTCATTTGTTAAATTGATGGTTTTCATGAGATATTTAACGGTGTTTCTGATGTCGATTTCATTGAATACGTACGGTCAATTCAAACGCCAGCATTTGATACGAAAGTAATAAATCAACCGTTTTTCGCAGTGACATTCGGGTTTCGTCCCCAGCATTGTTCATTAGAACAGTATTGAAATTGCTCAGTATGACTATTGTACCGCATTGATTTTATACAGTAGCAATAACGATGACAATTTTGTCATCATAAGACTTCGCGCGTAGAAGAAGTTTTCCAAAAATTCTGCATATTTTGGTATATTGCACGAATTCGTTGATTTTCTGTCATTATTAACGAATGAATAAGAATAAATACAACTTCCAATATTTCTTTAAAAAAAAATCCTGAAATTGACTAATTTGTGAAACGCGATGAAAATAAATCTGAAACTTGAAAGATATTGAAAATAAATGTGAAACGTTTTATATGAATTATTAAATTTAATACTATATCGGACTGGGTTCACGGTTCACGTTGTGTTGATAATAATACAAATGGAAATATTCATTGTATATTGGAATTTACGCATTCAATTCCATTTACGTTACGTTTTTCAACACATATTTGTTTGTTTGAACCAAATGATTCATTTGTCGGTCACAAAGCACAACTGACGGACACATATATATAATTTCATTTCCATAGTAATGTGATGGCGTTTTAAAAACAAATTAAATCGAACACTTAACATGCACACCTATGATTTTGATTTTCAAATAATTACATTGTATTAATTGTTCTCATTCCACATATTTATGCAAATTATTATCACTTTAGTATGATCACACTGTGATTGCCTTTCACTCATCGACGTTTTGAAGTGCACAATTTAATTTCACAAAAGAAAATATACAGTCAATTTTTCGTCAAGCGAGTCAATGAACTGACGATGAACGATGGTCAACTTTTTGTAGAAATCATGCAGCATTAACGAACACTATTTAAAACAGATCCAGTACAATTTAAATTCTATTATTTTTATAAACTAATGTTGATCACGATTACTTTCTTCACTTCAAGTTGTTTGCATCATGAAAGAGATTCAAAATTTTTGCTACGCTGCAAATTTCATTTTTCACGATTTCTATTAAAAGATAATTAAAATAAAGAATAATATGCTTTCGAGTATTTAAAGCTTGCAAAAATAAACAACTATTTTGGCTAAAAAATGCAAATGAATATAGCCTCTCCAAATCTCATACACTTTAAACGTATTCAGAAGTGAATATTATCCGTTTAATGACCGAAAAAAACATACTTTGCTCGCCTCTAATACGGTGCAACGGAATAATTATTCGAATTGAGAAAAATGAGAAGATGAAAAAAAAGAGACTACAAATTCAATGTAGTTTTACCAAATTCTAATTTCTCAAGACAAATATTTGATAGTCAAATTACAGGAAAGTTGTGTACGCTTTTTATATTTAATAATACCGAGTGCCGAAATATCTAGTATAATTGGATGGTAGTAAACTGCCACAACTGCGTTGCAGTTATTTTAAAAACTAAATGGAAATAAGATGAATAATTTGGTAATTAGCAAAAAATGGACCCGCCACATCTACACACACAAATTTATGAAATTTTAATAATTCCACTTAATTACTTTGAATAGAGTAAAAAGAATGTTAGCCCAACATTTCATCACCCCTTTTTTGTTCGTTGCCATTGTTTGCATGCATATAGCATCCAACTGTCGATGTACACGATGTTGTTGCTGCCGTTTGGGGTAATTATTAATTTACTAATCGCTTTAACTTCCAAATTTGCAATTGTTTGTTTTTGAAGCGAAGCGAACTGGACTTATAATGTATATAATATCGCTTGTCAGCGTGGGAACAAAATACAAAAAACAACAATTACAGGTATAATCGGTTTGCGCCAAACTGATTTTGAATCGAAACACATGCAATTCGATGCGTGGTTCTTTATTTTGCGTGCTCCTTTTCTTTTTTGGTGAAGAAATCTGGGCAATGAATCATATTCAATAAAAGTATCAGCTTTTCCGACGACTTTTTCTTCCTTTTTTTCAATAATAATTAATAAGGTTGAATATGCGAGACTGGCCAAATGAGAAAAAGTGAGACACCAGGTACTTTTCATTGAAGTGAACACCAGGGTTCGCAAATCCGACCGAGGTCCGACCGCCGACCGACCGCCGATCCGATCCGAACCGAAAATACTCGGAGTTCGGTCGGCGTCGGAACGAGTTTTCCATCGGATTTTTTTTCGGAATTCGGTTTTCGGATATTGATCGGATGCTCACAAAATTAAAACCAATATTTTTTTTAAATTGAATTAATTTTTCTTTTGTACCCATTTTTATTAATCGTCAATTTATCTCATTCATTCGTTTTTAAAAATTTAGATCATTTTAAATTTCTATTCAAAAATAACAATTGTTCGATGTGCGCTGTATTCAATCGATTTCTTCTTCTTGTCAAAATATTGCCGGCTGTACTGAACATTCGTTCCACTGAAGCGGACGATGCAACGATTGGTGCAATTTTGAGAAATTTTTTGTACAGTCGTGGGAACCGTGAATGATTGACCTCCCACCAGTCAATAACATTAAT